GCGGAAGAGGGCCAGCTCTGCGCGCTCCGCGACTTTCCATTGGCTGTCGGCGCCGTGGCCTAAAATTAGCCCGCCTATTGGCCGTAGCTGGGGCCGCGCTGCCTTGTGAGGTAAGGCCGGGGGCCGGGAGGTTCCGCGTTACTTCCGGCCCGGCTCTCTGAGAGGAGGAAACGGGCGGAAGCCGGTGGCTCTCGCGAGGATCTTCTCAGAGCGCCGCTGGGCTCTAATGGGGTGGTTCTTAGATGTTGAGGCGCAGGACTCTTCGTCTTTTCCCTCCTTCTCCTGAATGGGATGGACTTCTGAGGGTTTGTGACGCGAAGGCGTTCGGACCGGGACTCGCGGGTTGAATGCAACCGGGAGAAGCCTCAAGGCAGCGCCTCACGGCTTGATAGTTAACGAAGCGCTGCGGCCTGCGCGCGTCACGTCCGTGGTGACTAGACTCGCGGCCACTGTCCGGATTGGGACGCGCTCCTGGGTGATCGGGGACCTCGTCACCCGCCGGGCAGAAGAGGCACGTTCTTTCTCACCCCGTACTAAGCTGGGTTCACTTCGGATCTGGAAATTTTTTTTGGGGGGGGGGGTTTGGTGGAGGGAGAAGGGGACAAACTAGGGGCTGCGTGAGGTGGTATTAGACCTGGTTTGATCGCAGCTGTTGAGAGTGGAGCTGAGGAGGATGTAGAAGCTAAATGAGCAGTTGTATGAGTTAGAGATTTATCATTTTGACTTAGGAGTTTTGTAGTCGTTTATCTCTTCGTTGTGTTCATTCAGATATTTGCGCCCAAACTGTGTGTGCTGGTCCCTGGGTTCCCGGGGTACCGAGAGGACCAAGCTGATAACCGGGCCAGCCTCCGTGGCGCCTTCAGTTTCGTTGAGGGGCTTAGACCCACGTGAACTTAGAACAACGCTTGTGATTTTCTGCTTTTGTGTAGTGATATAATTGTACAAGTACGGCAATAACGACGCTTGTGCGAGCGGCCTGGAAGGGGACCCGACTCTGGAACTGACCCAAAAGCTGATAGTGGTGGGAGCTGCATAGCCCGTTAAGGAACCAAGGGGAGCCCGACTGCTGATGCAGGGTCGGTCAGGAACGTGGAGAGTGGCTGGAGGAGATGGACAGGAGAGCTGAGTGTAGGTTTAGTAGTGTGGCCTCTTGAGCAAAACAGACTTGAAGGGTTTAGAGGGAAGGAGGTGACTTACTGGGCTTGGGTTGGTGCAGGGCAGGATCTAGCTGCTACCAGCGCGACGCTCTGTGGGTGCTTGAGGATCCCCTGTATGTAAAGCAAATTTCTCAGGCCGTAAATTCTAGGTAGTGCTCAGAAGGCTATAGGGCCACTCCCGGGGATATTTGGCCTGTGTCTCTGCTTGGGACTGCATATGGTGTTGGGAATGGAACCTGGTTCTTCATGCACTATGAGATTTCTTTGCGCTTTTTCTCCAGCTCCCTCTAGAGTTTAGGTTTTTTTTTTTTTTTAAATAGCAAAATGCACCCTCAATCCTGTTCCCTGGCCCTAAAATTAGATATGTTTGGGGGTAGGTGTTTAGGTTCCTAGGGAATCTTCTTGGCTTTGTGCTCAGGGGACCATTCAGTGCTGGGGATTAAACCTGGGGGTGGGGTGGGCGTGTAGAATGCAAGACAAGTACCTTAACCTCAAATATTTTCCTAGACCTAAAGGTTTATTTTGGTTTGTTTTGAGCACCCAGTGTTGCTTAGGGTTTACTCCTCGCTCTGTGCTCAAGACTCACTCCTGACTCTGTGCTGAGGAATCACTCCTTGGTAGGCTGGGGGGCCATATAAGGTGCTGGGGATAGAGCTCTGGTTGGCTGTGTGCAAGGCAAACACCCTACCCACTGTATTGTTCCACCTCCTAACTTTGTTTTCTTGTTTTTGTTTCTTGGCGACCCCCAGAAATGCTTAGGGGTTACTCTTGGCTTTGCACTCAGAGAGTCCATATGGGATACCAGGGATTAAACCCGAGTTCGCTGCTTGCAAGGCAAATGCTCTATCTGCTGTAATATTGCTCTGGCCTCCTAAAGTTATGTTTTTAAGGTGACATTTCTACATGGATTAAAGAAAGCAAAATGTAATGCTTCAGATATTAGATTGTGGTGGTGATGGTGTAGATAGAAGGGATGTTATGAATGGGAGTTTGAATGGTTAGGTCTGAGTAAGTAATGAATTGGATGTAGAGGAAGAGAGAGAATGACTCCTTGAGTATGAAATGTTTACATTTATGAATATACGACAGAAGACAGGAGACAGGTTTTAGGAGATAATTGGAAACTTTTATCTTGATCCTGTTAAGTTTAAAATTGTTGAGACATGCAAGTGATGGCAGTTGAATATAATTTCTTTTTAAAAGATTTTTTGATTTTTGGGCCACATCTTGGTGCTGGGGGCTCCTTTTGGTGCTCAGGAGTCACACCTTGTTGGTACTTAGTGGACAGTACAGCGCCACTTAGTGACTGTACAGAGGATTAAAAAACAGGGATGGCTGCTTGCAAGTCAAGTGCTTTGCCCCTGTGCTATGTCTTCCACCCTTTTTCTCTGGTGGGGAGAGGGGTACCACTTACTGGTTTCTGGAAGCTGTTGCTCTTTGCTTGGTATTCAAGCATCACTTCCAGCACTGCTTTGGGGGACCACATGGTGCCTACCCTCGGCCTCACTGATACAGAACATGCACTCCACCCCTTTGAGCCCTCTTCTCAGCCCTATAATAATTATTTAAGTAAATTAATAAATCTTTTGTTAAAAGCCCATGAAAAAATATTCAGGCTGGGCTGGGGAGATAGCTCAAAATGGAATGCATGCTTTGCATGTAGATGTGTAGGTTCAATCTCTGGCACGGTAACAAGCCCTACTGGGTGTTGTCTCCTCCCCCCATAAAAAAATAAAACCACCCAAGCTATATTGATTTAGTTTAAAATCGGATTTAAGGGGGCAGAGAAATAGTACAGCAGGGAGGGTGTTTGCTTTGCACGCTTCTGACCTGGATTCAATCCCTGGCACTCCATATGGTCCCTTGAGCCAGCCAGGAGTGATTCTTAAGTACGGAGCCAGGAGTGAGCCCGGAGGACTGCTGAATGTGACCCCAAAATTAAAAACCAAACAAAGAGTAGGATTTAAGAGGCTAGAGCAATAGTACAGCAGGTAGGTTTCTTGCAGTGCACATGATCAACCAGTATTTTGATCCGTGACATCATATATGGTCCCTGAGCCTTTCAGGAGTGAGTCCTGAGTGTAGAGTCAGGAGTAATCTCTGAGCACTACTAGGTGTGGCCCAAAAACAAAATAAGGTTTAAGAATTGTGTAAAAGTGGGGCTGGAGAGATAGCATAGTGGATGGGGCTCTTGATTTTCGTGTGGCTAGATTTGATCCCCACCTCCACATATGGTACCCCTGAATACTGCTAGGAGTGATTCCTGAGCCACCATAAAATTTTTTTATATGTAAATTGGTTGATGATATAGGTCAGTGGTAGTACACTTGCCTTGTCCTAGATTTGATCTAATATACGTCCATTAAAAAAAGAAAAACCCCCAAAAGAATTGTGTAAAATTGACATGGTACAATGTGGGACTTAAAGATACACAGCAAGATAGCAACAAAGGCCAGAGGCAACACAATGGAGTACTGATCTACAGAATTGACATCATGTGCGTCTAGGCAAGGGTGGGGTGAGATTTGAAAGGAAGGGCTGTCTGGGGGTACTTGGGGGAGGTAGATGTATACACTGATGATGGGTGTAGTGTTGGAATTACATGCATTAGAATATAGTAATTGTAAATCACAAAACCTCAATAAAATTTTTTAAAAATAAAATTGACATTATATAGTTATTTAGCTACAGAGGTCTATGTGCAAATGACTTGAAATAGCCTACTGTCAGACCTGAGAGCTAGCATACTGGGTAAAGGCGCTTTTATATGGTATCCTCTCGTTTGATACCCTGAACACCACCAGGATTGATCCATGAACACAGCCAGGAATAAGCTTTGAGCATAGCCAGATGTGGCCCAACCCCATTCACAACCCATCAGAAAAGTATGTGGTCTAATATAATAGATAAGTTACTTCCCTATAGGCAACCAGAAATGAAATGTGATCCTTCATTGGGAGGATGGACCACAACCAATGAGTAAATGACAACAATTTACTGCAGCTCTCCATCTTTGCACAAATTTGTATTTTGTTAAGTGGTGGGAGTGGTTTGGAGCCATACCCAGCAGTGCTCAGGGTTTACTCCTGGCTCTGTACTCTTTGTGGCTCAGGGGACTATCCATGGTGCTGGATATCAAACCCATCTTGGCACCCTGTCTGTGATCACTTGGGTTACAATTTCCAACTTCAATACAAATAGAAGAGATAGTAAAAGACACAGTGGTAAAGGAGCCTGCTTTGCAAATGTGAGACTGCAGTTTGATAGGTATTGCCAATGCATGCATGGAGCAATATCCAGGCAGCTTGACTACAGTGTTTTATGTGATCCCTAGAACCACATGCATTTCTAGCTGTGTCACAGCCAAGTGTGCTTGCAGGCATCACAGCTAAAAGGTATATGAGTTAACAATATGTATGAGCACTATGTATGCCAGGAGTGCAACTGTGTTGAGCGCTAGTAGTAACTTCAAGTGCTACAACCTAGAATGTACTTGAGCACCATAACCAAAAGATGTGCAACTTATACTAGAACACTTCAGTCTGATGTACCAGTACCACACCACAACTAAAGGTATCATTCCCTGCCATATCAACAACAGAGGGGAAGGGACATGTAATAAAAGAATTTGGCCAGAGTGATAGTCAGGTGGTAGGGAGTTTGCCTTGGATTCACCTGACCCCATGGTCAGTCCCCGGCATCCCATATGGTCCCACAAGCACCAGAAGGAGTAATGTCTCAGTGCAGAGCCAGGAATTACCTCTGAACATTGCTGGGTGTGAACCAAAATAGCCACAAAAAAAAAATTCTAGTTTCAATCCTAGAATATTTTTTCTTCTTTTTAGAATTCCTGTTCTAGGCAGCACTCACTAGCTGGAGTAAGTCCTCCCATAACATGTAAGAATAATTAGCATGGAGAGATTGAGCCATATACCCTTGGATCACTTGGGAAGGTAAGTGCTTAATGTTCACAATGGTTATTTTTCCTGATACATTAATATTTCATTAAAATAGTATTATTATTAAGGTAATAATTAAAATAGACCAAAACTGACTTTTCAATTGTTTCACAAATATTGCGTACCAGTTTTTCCTGTCTAACCTTGGGCAAATGTGGAAAGATATTAGATATGATATAGTCTTTAGATGTGTAGTTACGAGCTAGAGAGATAATATAGTGGGTAAGGTTCTTGCCTTGCATATGGCACATCCCGGCTTAATTCTGACATGCCGTATGGTCTCCTAAGTTTGCCAGGAGTGATCCTTCTGAGCACAGAGCAAGGAGTAATCCCTGAGGACTGCTAGGTGTGATCCCAAAAACCAAACCAAAACCCCAAAGTAGAAAACAGATGTATAGTTCTTTTTTGGGGGGAGGAGGTGGAATAAGAATGATAAATGGATAACAGTAAAAGAAGTAGCTGTTTCTAGGACTGAGGTAGAAATGAGCAAAATGAACCAGGAACACTTTATTATATCTGAAATTAACAATGCTAAAGTTTCCTCATTAAAAACTTTTTAAGAATCAGTAGCCAAAAAGAACAATTTAGCATTGCAACAAATGGAAACAATAAGATTTTTTTTCATATTAACAATACCTTAAAGTAAGCTAGATTTTAAAAATTTTGTTTTGTTTTGCTTTTGGGGGCCACATCCAGTGATGGTCATGGGTTACTCCTGGAATTACTCAGGAATTACTCCAGACGCTCTTGGGGGACCATATGAGATGCTGGGGATTGAATCCAGGTTGGCCGTGTGCAAATTAAGTCCCTACTTGCTATACTTTTCCTCTGGACCCTATTCATTCTTCTTGAGGGCAATTGTTCCTGGTAGGAACACGTAATACCTCTACTAGTTAAATATATTGGTAAGGTAAAGCCCTCCCGTTGATCGTCGATTTGCTCGAGTGGGCCCAGTAACGTCTCCATTGGAGACTTTGTTGTTACTGTGTTTGGCATATCGAATACATCACAGGTAGCTTGCCAGGCTCTGCCGTGCGGGCGAGATACTCTAGGTAGCTTGCCAGGCTCTCCGAGACAGGCGGAGGAATCGAACTCGGGTCGGCCATGTTGGCTGCGTGCAAGGCAAACGCCGTACCACTGTGCTATTGCTCCAGCCCAACAATAACAACCAAAATCCATAATTATTGAGAGGACTTACTCGAACTCGGGTCGGCCATGTTGGCCGCTTGTAAGGCGAACGCTCTACCGCTGTGCTATCGCTCCAGTTAAATATATTAAGTATGGTTTTTTTGCAACCTGAAATGAGGGCAAGTGGATATGACTTGAATTTAAGTCAATAACAGTTGATTTTCCAAGGAAATTATGACTATGCTTTTTTGTGTCACTATCAAGAAGTAGTAAGCCTTTGAACATTTCTTATTCTCATTTCTCAAGAAAAATTAATATTTACAATCCTGCTTTATATAATCAGAGATTTATAAATTCCTTTAAGTCCATTAATGTAAATTTCCCATGTTATCCTGTTACCATTACCCTAAGGTTCTACATTCTGAATCAGAGACTAGGAGGATCCATCAAAGAGACTTTAATTTTGGTGGAGTATTTTGTTTTCCTATTTCTGAACACAGAATTGAAGCTTATAATTAAGATTGATTCAGCTGCAGTATTCTCTGTGGTTGTTTCCTGCTGTAGCAGATAGTGTTTGATGTTATTAAGTTTAACCATTTGAAATTGTTGCTATTCATTTGCTTTTGACCTCTTGAAATGGCTGTTTCAATGTTTTTTTTTCCTGTAATTGCTAAAATACCTCAATGCTGTTCACTGAATTAATGTAGCTAGCCTTATACCTGTTTACTTAGGATTTTCACTTTTAATTGTGAAAAGTGAAAACCACACCACACCTGACAGTGCTTGTTTCTTCTATCTGACTTTGCTCTCAGAGATCACTCACGCCTGGCAGGCTCGGGGACCATATGGGGTGCTGGGGATCAGACCTAGTCAACTGTCTGGAAGGCAAATGCCCTACCCACTGTACTATCAATCCAGCTTATCACCCTTAATTGTTCTGTCAGAGGACAGGAAAGCAAGGAGATAGTGATTTTCCATAGCAGCCTAGGACTGTAGGAGAGTCCCAGTTGTATCTGAAATAGTGAAGGTTCTTTTCTTGAAGCAATTTATTTCTAAAATTTAGGAGCTGGTGCGATGGTACAGTGGGTAGAGCATTTGCTTTGCATGTGGCTGACCTGGGTTCAATCCCCAGGACCTGATGTGATCCCCTTAGCCAGCCAGGAGTGAATCCTTGAGCACAGAGTCAGGAGTAAGCCCTGAGCACCACCAGGTGTGGCCCAAATTCCCTCTTCCCCCGCAACTTTTTTTTTTAGGTGTTTTTTCTTGATCCAGTCTTAAATACTTTTCCCCCTGTTTTTGGGTCACACCCGCAGTGCTATGGTTATTCCTGGCACTGTGCTCAGGAATCACTCCTGGCAGGCTTTGGGGACCATTTGGGACGCCAGGGACTGAACTCAGGTCAGCTGCAGCGCAAGGCAAGTGCTCTACCCTTTGTACTAGCTCTCCACTCTCACATATTATCTTTAAGGACCTGATTTTATGTTTATTTATTTTGTTTTTTAGGCCACATCCAGCGGTGCTCAGGGATCACTCCTGGTGGTGCTCAGCATGTGTGGTGCCAGGGATCGAAATGAAGTCAGCCGCGTGCAAGGCAAGCATCCTACTAACTGTGCTATTTCTCTGGCCTCTGTTTTTATATTTTAATCTTTTTTTTTTTTTGGCCTAGAATGAAACTTTATTTAAACACGGTGATTTACGAAGTTGTTCACCATACAGTTGTTTCAGGTATTCAATATTCCAACACCAGTCCTACCAGCAATGTGTCTCTCCTTCCACCAATATCCCCAGTTTCCTACCCACTCCCCAAGCAGGCACAAAATAACTTATTTTATATTGCTTGTTACAAATATCGTAATGGTGTTGTTAAAGTCATGTTCTGAGGATTTACTGAGATGTTAGGTGCAAGTTGAGCTTTCTGTGTTATTGTTTTCACTCTTTGAGCTTAGTAGACTTCTCAATTTCCCCATCTCATTTTCTGTGCTTTTACGGAGCTGTCAGCTCTGAAATTTGGAGGTGTTGCATGACTACATACGCGGTTGCATGCCTCAGGGGCTGTGGAGCTGGGACGATCAGTTGCAGGTGTCTTTCTGGCATCTCTCTGAGATCATTCCTGAAGCTGGACTTTCTCTTTGGCAGCGGTGGAAGCTGGGTGTGGGTAGAGTGCTGGACATTGGTAGGGCAGGAACTTGGTCTGCCCCCATCCTGCTAAGGCTCTAGAGATCTCGGCTTGGTGGCGGCAATGCTCACCTAGAATAACTCAGCTGCTGGCATTTCTCTGAGATCAGTCCTGAAGCTCTTACTGCTCTTTCCTTCTGTAGAATTTCTGGTATAAAAACTACTACTACAGATTGCTTATTAAAGGTATTTTTAAAATAAGGAATTGTGGATCAAAGAAATAGAACTGACACCTTATTCTATCTGGTAGTCGATGTTTTGATTTAAAAGCAACACTCCTGGCTGGGAAGATAGTTCAAAGAACCTAAGAGAATGCTTTGCAGCGGGGAGACCTGGGTTGATTTCAGACATAGCATGGTCCCTTACCAGGAGCACTCCCTGTCACTGAGTCAGTAGTCCTAAGCACTGCTGATTGTGCCCCCACTTCCTGAGAAAAAGAAAAAAACAGCACTCCTACCATACTACCACACTTTGTATTGTTTATTGTTTGTTTGTTTTTGAATCACACCTAACAATGCTCAGGGCTTACTCTTGGCTCTACATTCAGGAATCACTTCTTGTGGACTCCTGGGTATCAAAATGGTACTCAGGATTGAACCCAGTCAGCTGTGTGCAAGGCAAGCGTCTTACTATCTCTCTGGCCCTACTTTGTATTCTGTACTGATGGGAGTCATCAGATGAATTAAAACCAAGGCTATACTGTAAATAAAATTACCTATTGCACTTTAGCAATATCAATGTCAGATTCCCTGGCACCACCAGGAGTCACTTCTAAGTAGAGCCATCAATAGTCCCTGAACACTGCAAGGTGTTGCCCAAAATAAAATACTTTGAAAAGTATCTGACAACTGAATACCATGTGATATTTTTGTTGTGCTAGGGATAGTGCCAGGTGTACTTTTTACACTTTTGGATGGGTGTTGGGGATGTGGCACTATTTTTTATGGTGTCATGGGATGGCGCTACAGAGTCTTGGGGAGGGAGCATTAGGCATTGTTGGGTGGTGCCAGGTAATACCAATATTGAACTCAGTCTCATACATGTTAGGCAAACTACCACTGAGCTGTGTACTTCGAGGCCCATATGTGATTTTGTTGGATAAAAGTTGCTGTCACAAATTGTTAATTAAATCTAAGTGAAAGATGTATTTGTGTGTTCATTGGTATTTTCAAAACAAATGTTGAAGGAAAGTTTATTCCACTTGGGTAACTAATCCAGTTTTTCAAGATTACATAGCATGAGTACAAAACAGGATTTGACTTATACATTGAAGAGTTATAGATTTATTCTCATCACTTCTATTCCCCGTTTTTCTGGCCCAGGAAACCTCACATTTAAAAAAAATTATTTTTGGATTTTGGACTATACCCAGTGGTACTCAGGGCTTACTCCTGGCTGGCTCATGAGGCCAAATTGTGTACTGGGGATTGAACCCATTTCAGCCACATGTAAGGCAAGCACCCTACCCGCTGTACCCAGAAACTTCACATTTTAATATTTTTGTTTTGGGGTCATGCCTGGTAGTGCGCAGGGAAACATGCAGTGCTGGGGATTGAACCCAGGCCTTCCACACACTGGCATGTACTTCGCCTTTTACTCTTTATTTCCTTGGCCTGTAAACCTCACAATTTCCTCCTGAAACTTTGTGGTGTGTATGTCGGGGGAGGGGGTGGGGGAGAGGGGAATTTTGGGGCCATATCTGATACCCTGATACTGTTCAGGGGTTACTCCTGGATCTGCACTCAGGGACTATATGGGATGCTGGAAATCGAACCTGACATTACTTGGGATAAGGTATACCAGGTATTGAACCCAGATTGGCTGCATGCAAGGCAACACCCTAGCTGTATTCTCTCCAGTTCTCCCCCTAAAACTTTTTTCTTTTGGGTGGTGGTCACGCCTGGTGATGCTTAGGGATTACTCCTGGTGGTGCTTTGGAGGACCATATGGGATGCTGGAGAATAAACCCGTGTACGTGCAAGGCAAAAGACCTACCCACTGTACACTGTTGCTCTCCCCCTATCTTCTCATTTCTGTACAAGCATATACTGTCACTTTCTCCCTAGTACTAGTTTTTAGAACATTTATCAAGGTTATTGCTTGTAGTACATTAGTCATGGTGTGATTCAGTATTTGCATATAGTCAAATGACCACACGGTAAGTCCAGTTATGTCTCTCATCATACATCTCATAGTTTTTGTTTTTGGGCCACACTTGGGAGTGCTCCGGCTTACTGCTGGCTCTGTACTCAGAGATCACTTCTGGCAGGCTCCCGGGACCATATAGAGTGCTAGGGATCAAACCTGGGTTGGCTGTGTACAAGGTAAAGGCCCTACCTGCTGTAGTATTGCTCCTGCCCCTCAGATACTTTTGTTTCTGGGCCACATCCATTAATTCTTAGGGGTACATCTGGTTCTGCACTCCGACACTATTTCTGGTGTATTAAATGGGATGTTGGAGATTGAAGCCAGGTAGGCTGTGTGCAAGTAAAGTGCCTTCTGGTAAAGGGATGGGTGTTTGATCATTGTATGACCGACCGAGACTTAAACTGAAAAGCTTTGTGGCTGTTCTCATGGTGATCCAATAAAAATATAAGGAAAAAAAAAAAAGAAAAGTGCCTTACCTGCTGTACTATCTCCCCGCCCCCCAAGATTATTTTTATTGCCAAAAGATGTATGCTACATGCCAGGGTTTGTTGTTAGGAACAGCAGTTAAGTTTCTAATCTCAGGCTAGGGCTGCCCTCATATGATTTGCCACTTCCCAAAGGCTCTACCTGATTGTGCTGTGTGGGTTGCTGTGCAGTGCCCAAGATTGAATGTAGGCTCCTGCGTGCACAGCCTACAAATCTTTGAGCCATTGTAAAAGATGAGGCCTGGGATGTACACCTGCTTTGGGTACATGATCTTGCTTGGCTCAGAGGCCCTGGTTTTGACCACCATTATTGCAAAATAATAGAACTTCGTAAAATGTTGAAAAAATGAGGAAGATGGGGACTTACGCTGTCCAAGCAGCCCATGAGCCGCTTGTGCCCATGTGGCTGAGCTCATGTGGCACCCATCTCCCCTCTTGAAATGTGTACTTTCACGTCTAATGCTAGTATGTGTGTAGGGGTTCTCTTGGCCCTTAGAGGAGCCCAAGTTCTCTCTTGAGCATGTTACTCTCCACTCTGTCCCACTTTCTCTTCCTCCTTCCCTTTGAAACCTCCAAATACAATGTTTTACTTCAAAAAAAAAAAAAAAAAAGAAAGAAAATGACCAAGATGGCAACCTTGAGGCAGGCGAAGTCTTTTTTTTTTTTTTTTTTGAGGAAAGGAGCATGAGAGCCCAGAAATAATCTCATGATTTAGAGGAAAACATTAAAGTAGCAAAGCTATTTTCCAAAGTGTGTAATTGGGGCCTATATACTTGGTTGTGGAGCCCCTGGTGGGGGCATTTCACACCAAGTTGTTGTGGTGCTTATGTGCAATTTTCATGAGACTGCAACACTGGAGGTCCCCCAAAATAGCAGTGTTGGAAGAGATCCTTGTACCAGGATTATGAAAGATTAAACTCATGGCCTAGACTTGCAAGGGGGCTTCCAAGGGTATGATTTTCAAGTGAGGAAGACTGATTAACAGTCCTTCACCCTCATCCCCTTATTTTGGTCACACTCAACAGTGCTCAAGGATTACTCCTGGCAGGGCTTAGGAACCACGGCTGCATGGAGGTAAGCTTCCTACCTGCTGTACTACCACTCTGGCCTGGTTCTTGGTATCACTGAGACACTTAGTGTGAGGACTACCTACTACACATTTTTTTGTAAGCCAGTTAAAGCTGGATCTAGATGAGATTAGCTCATTTTTCATATTTATAGACATCTAGAGTTTCAACACCTCAAACCTAAAGAGTAGCCAAACACCAAAACCAAAACCATAGTTGAAAGGAACTTGTATTTGGTGACAATGCTCATTAGTTCATGGGAATTACTAAATGTGGTTCTTATTCTCAGGCTCTCCTTGAAGCTGCATTTCAAGGTCTCACACCCCACAAACGAGATATTAAGGTGCTTTTCATGTTTATTTTTTAAAAAATCCAGAATGGATCAGAAAGAATCATCAAGGATACAGATGTCAAATAGACGTGAAGGTAGTTACAAAAGTATGCGTTAGGAAAGTTGAGCTCCTACTACCTTCTTTTAGAAGCTAAACTTAATATAAATAGCTTGCTTCGTTTTCCATTCTTTAGCTTCTATTCTCTGAACATGGCACAATGGCTTGCCTGCAAGGCATCTGCTTAATAATCCATGTATACACAGGCTGGCATGGCAGGACTCAGCTAGAAGGATGGCTCCTCATTCCAGGACTTTGGCTACCTAACTACACTGTGTGTAAGATGGTTTAACCCCTTGAATATATGGTTACTTCAGCACAAAACAATGTTAGGTCTTTTTACCAATCAATAATTCATCTTCCCTTTTTGCATGAAACTGGAAAATGAGAGGTTAGGACAAAACACTGTGAACTTTGTACTGCTGAAATTATCAATCATTAAGATGATCATTAACTGATGGTCACTAAATTTACATATTGAGGAAATTATATATAGAATACTGCAAAAACACAGTAAAAGATTGAAGTCGGCCCAGCTCTGCTCAGGAAGTCCCTTCACTCCCAAGCGTCATAATTTGGAGCTGTCCTTTCAGCTCCAATGTTCATAGCAATTACTGCTTCTCTTCTTTTTGATCTTCCTTTTGTTCCCCACTGCCAGAACTTCCAGAGCCTTCTCGCTCAGATGCCATCTGTTAAGAAAATATTTGAAAACCACTCAGACTTAATACTCTGTTGTACTGTCTCCTACTACTGGTAGTTTCTAAGCCCCTTTTCCTTTTATCTCCTCCCCGACCCACCTCAAAACAGCCAAGAAGGCTATTTTAACTTTAATACTCCCAGTATCATAAATAATTATATAAGAAGCCATCAGTGACAATAACAAGTTAATCAAGTTAGAACAAAATATTCATTAACCAAAACATCTTTCAGAGTTCTTGTACCTTTTTGTATGCCATTTCAAAGAGCTTCAGTGATGCTTGTTGAAGGGAAGATGCAGCCTGCCTTATGTTTTCTCCTGTTTCACTATCTTTTCGAGCCAGGAGCTCCCTCATTTTGGAAATCTCTTCTTTCAGCTTGTTGCACTTCAAAACAAAATCAAATCATCATTTCCCCACTGTGTTACTTATTATATGTAGCAATGAATACATAAATATCTTTAAAGATTTAGTTTCCTATCAAGAACCATGTAGAAAAAAATGAACTCTTAATATGAGCAATAATATGCCCCATATTTCTCTGAGCTATTTAAAGAGTACTTACCTCATCAGCAGGCAATTGGTCCTTAAACTCTTCCATCTTTGTTTCTGTGTCATGAATGATTCCTTCAGCCATATTAACTGCTTCAACTCGTTCCTAAAAGAAATTATAGTATGAAGGACTTCTCAAACAACTACTTGGCTGAATATCCTGATAACTGTAACATAAGTTCAACAGCAGCAAATAAATTACCATGACCTGAGGCTGTCATTAAGAGTTTTATTACTGGATTCTGTAACATAACACTTTGATATAGGACTGAAAATAAGAAATGCATTCCATGCATTAATTATGAATAAAGGAATAGTCTGAGAGAAGATCAATGGTACAAGCCTAAATTTCCACTTTTCTCCCCTCTGAAAAGGTAAACACTAATTACCTTCTTTCGCCGATCTTCCTCGGCATACTTCTCTGCATTTTTAACCATATTTTCAATGTCATCTTTGCTTAATCCACCGGAAGACTGGATCACAACTAGAGTGGAAAAGGCACCCTGTTAGTTTCCAAATAAAATGGTTTTGCACTATTGTAAGATTATCCCCTGCTCAGATTAGCCAGGCTTGATGTTAACTAGGAAGAGAAATGCTCTGTTTAACTACCCTTAAGCAGAAGGAAACCAGGGATTTGAGATAAACAACTTCGGCAATCCAGGAGCCTGGTGCTTATTTTCTGTTAATATGAACCTGACTTAATCTATTGATGAGATAGAGAGCAAAAGTAGTCATCTTCCCTTAAGATGAAAAAATATACAACTGGATCACAGAAAATGTCAAGGAAAGGAAAAAGGAGAGGAGGAGGGAGGGAAGGGAAGGGGGAAAGAGAAAAAGAATCTAAAAACTTGAAAGCAGAAATGATAATACGGAAGTCAAGATGCTTAATGAAGAGAGGACGTCTATTCCCAATGCAAAAACCTTTAAGGTTCTTGATTTCACCCTTACAGTCCAATAAATAAGAGCACTTACTCTGTTGCTCACGTCCTGTGCCCTTATCCTTGGCAGAAACATGCACAATCCCATTGGCATCAATGTCAAATGTAACTTCAATCTGAGGGACTCCCCGAGGGGCTGGAGGAATCCCAACCTAAAATAAATATGCAGATGTAACTGACTCTCACAAAAAGGGGTTTAGCACACTATTCAAATCTATTTTGCCATAGTTTTTTGGCCATACCGGTGATGCTTGGGTTATTCCTAGCTCTTTATTCAGGAATTATTCCCGGTGGTGCTCTTGGGGATAAGCATCAGATGCTGGGGATGGAACCCACACCATTTGCATGCAAGTAATACACCCTATCCGCTGTACTATTGCTCCAGCCTCTGTTCATTTTTCTTGGGGGCAGTTGTTCCTAAGAGGAACAACTAATACCTATACTAATTAAAGATATTAAGTATGGTTTCTTTGCAACCTAAAATAAACTAGCCACACGACAGTTAAAGTCAGCTAAGAAACTGCTAACAGTTGGGAATATAGCAAATGAGATCATTCTCTTCCTCATTGTTCATCTCACCAACAACCAATAAAATACTGTGGACTAAAAATTGATGCTCTTTTCATTCTGGAGAAGCCTGTGTTCTCTTTTGAGCTACCCCAGTCTTTAGCTACCCCTCTCCTTTCATTCCTTTTCACCCAACAAATGTGTTCTACCTAAAAAAAAAAAAAAAAAAAAAAAAAAAAGCTGGCGCAATAGCACAGCGGGTAGGGCGTTTGCCCTGCATGCAGTCGACCCGGGTTTGATTCCCAGCATCCCATATGGTCCCCTGAGCACTGCCAGGTGTGATTCTTGAGTGCAAAGCCAGGAGTAACCCCTGAGCATTGCCAGGTGTGACCCGAAAAGCAAAAAAAAAAAAAAAAAAGGAATTAATAATTGTTTACTTGGTCTTATATTCTTGATGAGTTTCTAAGGCACAGGAACAAAGGAACAAGCAAGGTTAAGTAAGCAAAGCCTGTACATTCAGTTGTAAGAGTCAAAGGTTATGTTCCTGTTCATATGCAGAGGCTATTATGATTACTAGGTACTATGATACAGTTCAGGGCTTTTAAAAACTATTCCAATTTGGGGCCAAAGAGAGAATATAATGAGCAAGGCACTTGCCTTGCCAAAATCTGACCTGGGTTTAGTCCCTGGCACCACATACAGCCAGTCCCCAAGCAATGCCAGAATGATTCCCAAACACAGAGACAGGAGTAGGCCCTAGGCACAACATGGCACCCCCTCCCATCCTAAACCTAATGAAAGAATAGCTTTCCCCACTTGATCCCTTTCTTGCCCCAGAAATGCAACAAGTACAAATGCTGCCAGATACATTTCAGATTCATAATACAGCTAATTCAGAATAATTTTTAGTTGTTGCAAGTTTAGAAATATATGACTGTCAAATTTTTTGGACTCCAATATTCAGTTATGTGACCCAGCTTGTAAGAAATTAGGATATAGCAGAACTTTATCTTTTGAGCCAAACCTGGATGTGCTCACGGTTTATACCTTGCTCTGATAGCCAAACTTGAGAGTAAAAGCAAGTGTGTGCACGCGCGCGAGTGCGTGCAAGTGTGTGGGATGGATGAAAAGGAACAAAATAGTACTTCTGAAACCTACCAAAGTAAACTGTCCAAGAAGTTTGTTGTCTCCAGCCATTTCTCTCTCACCCTGACATACTTTAATCTCCACTTGTGTCTGTCCATCAGCAGCTGTAGAGAACACCTAGGGAGAAGGAAACTTCTAGAATGGCAGTTTGATTAAATTAACTCCCCTCATACAAACAGCAAATCTTAACGTTGGAAGAGTCAATGTACTTTATGTTCAAAACAAAGGCTTTTGTCTTTGTAGGGAACAGGAGTAGGATTGGCATAGCAAAAGCATATACAATAGTTACTGTTTCAGCTAAACAACTTCATTGTACACAGATGCAGTATTAGCACAGCCTCAAGAAAAAAAAAGTTAAAAATATGAAATACGCTCATCTGTCAAAAATAGCCAGAGATGGGTATGTATTTTGTGCTCAGTCAAAGGAAGTCACCATTTTCTTCAGAATGATGTGTTGACAATACATCATTGCACAAATACAGCCACACTCAGTCTCTCACACACACACAAAAACCAAACCAATAACAAAACCCCACAAACCCAGTATTGGACTGGAGAGATATACAGCAGGTAGGGTGTTTGCCTTGTATGTGGCAGTCCCAGGTTCAATCCCTGGCATTCCACATGGTTCCCCGAGTACCACCAGGAGTAATTCCTGAGTGCAGAGCCAGGAGTAACTCCTGAGCATCACCTGGTGTGACCCAAAAGGCTAAATAAATAATAATAAAATCAGATTCCTTTGTGTGTGTTGGAGGGGGGAACCCCCAAAACAACAAAAACCCAAAATTACAGAAGCCAGGGAATAATTCTTAACCCAAGATTAAACTGTTGTCCAAACAGCCTGGGTGGTATCCTAAGACCTCCATCATTTACCCAGTCACAGCTAGGCTATTTATTTTACTGCCTTTGAGGAACGAAGTACAGGAAATCAGAAACTCAATCACAAATAAATGGTAAGGCTCCTTTGGTGATTTATTTTTAACTCTACGAGGGAGAAATTATTGGTTTCTTCCCTATATAGTAACCATAGCTAGCTGATAAAGAACATTCCCAGAAACAACAAAGCAGTGGACTGGAAAATAAAAAGTAAAGTTTCACCAGTGGCTGGTATTCCTTACAGATATAGTAGAAAGGTAGAGTGACTCTTACCTGGCTCTTCTTCGTTGGAATAGTGGTGTTCCTGTTAATAAGTTTAGTAAAGACACCACCCAGAGTCTCGATGCCTAAAGACAGGGGAGTGACATCAAGAAGCAGCACATCTGTAACATCACCAGCCAACACACCTCCCTGAATAGCAGCTCCAATGGCCACAGCCTCATCAGGATTGACAGCTTTACTAGGGGCTCGACCAAATAGATCCTGCACTGTCTGTTGAACCTGAGACACCAAGGAAAAAAGAAAGTCATCCACTACTCCGGGTAACAGTCCAAGAATAAAGAATATCCAAGTTTTCAGATCCAAGAATATTTAAATTTACTAAAGATGATTTGTAAATGATGTATTTCATATAGGTAATACATATGTTGTTCACATGCACTCTTTTCACGGCCCCCTTTATATTTTTCAAGACAGAGTTGAGAGAAAAAACTGAGCACATGTTTTGCACGTAGAAGGCATAGGGATTGATTGATCCCTGGCACTGCATAGTACCCTGAATATTCCCAACACAAACACTTACGTGCACACATATTTTTAAAAGTTGTTTGTCCAGAAAACATTAAATAAGAAAGGATGTAAATCAAAGGGATTTAGAAATTATAGTCTAAAACTAGCATAAAAGATGTGGGAGTAGGGGACAAAACAGATAGTACATGGCAGAGTGCCTGCCTTGCCCACAGCTGACCTGATTCAATCCTCTGAGCCCAGCAGTAATTAAGTGAGTAAACTCCGAGCACAGCCAGGTGTGCCCCCAAAACAGAAGAAAAAAACATTCCCTTCTACTATTATTAGCATTTTAGAAATACCATTATCAATATTTTACTAAAAGAAGAAAAATGTGCTACTTGAATAGTGTATTGTTACATAAAGATATCCATCTTTCCCTCTAAGTTTAACAAGTGCCTGTTTTCCTAACCCCACACACTCCAAAATAAAAATACCAAGGCATAACATGATTCTATTCAAGACATAAAGAAGAATCACATCTTCAACAGGTTTCATGCTCAGTCATTAGTTTTCTACACATCTGTCTTTTCAGAATGATGTGTTGATTAATATAATGCATCACTGCACAAATCTCTATTGAAGATATGCAATTAGGAGCGCCCCCAAACCTACAGAACATAAGACATTTGTCCCAAGAAAATGTGCTGGTTCCCCTTAGCTATCCATTCCATAGGTCCATACCTTAGGCATTCTAGTCATGCCACCAACAAGAATTACTTCTCCTATATCACTCTTGCTGACTTCTGCATCTTGCATGGCTTTTTGGCAGGGTGCAATGGTCCTTCTGATTAGATCATTGACAATTCCCTCAAACTGAGCCCGGGTCAGCTTCATGTTCAAATGTTTGGGTCCAGAAGCATCCATTGTAAGATATGGCAAGTTGATATCAGTCTGCAAAAGAAGCAGGGAGGTCAGTAATAGTGAAATTTTGGGAAGCTTTTGCTTTTTTGGGTTGTCCTGGCTATACTCTGGAAGCCATGTGGTACCAGGGATCAAACGTGGTTTAGGTGTATGCAATCATATATATATCATCTCCCCAGATTTTGAAATCTGTATTCTTTTTGGTTGTTTTTGGGGGTAAGTCACACTCAGTGGTGCTAATGACAGGCAGAGGAGACCATATGTCGCCAAGGATCCAACTGAGGCCTACAGCATATAAATCATGAGCCTTTGATCTATCTTCCCAGCATCCATTACTTCTATTAAAAGATCACACTAGGCTGAAGAGAAAGTACAGTAGGTAGGTAGCTTGCCTGCAAGCCAACAGACCCAGCTTCTAACCCTGGCTCCCCTGAGCTCTGCCAGTGCTAATTCCTGTGCAGAGCCAGAAGTAGGCCCCAAGCACAGCTGAGTGTGCACCGCCCCCTCCCTCCCCACCCAGGGGAAAAAAACCAAAAAAACAAAAACCAAAACACCCCAAAACCAACTTCTCCCCTTTGTGGGTGGATCAGGCCTGGAATAGTTTATCTGGGCGGACACTGCATGCAGAAAGCCCAGGTTTGGGGCTGGAGCGATAGCACAGCGGGTAGGGTGTTTGCCTTGCATGTGGCTGACCCAGGTTCGATTTCCAGCATCCCTTATGGTGCCCTGAGCACTGCCAGGTGTGACCCAAAAAGGAAAAAAAAAAAGAAAACCCAGGTTTGAGCCCCCACAGATCTAAGAGTAGTAGCTACACACCAAACTAACAAAAAAGGTAGGTGGTCAGAAGACAACTAACTCAATTAATTATGCCCTGCTTTTCGGCTGCAACTTGTGAACCCAAGAGATTTTATTCCTCCGGGACTATCTAACCCAGACCTATGACTGTTTTTAGTGGTTAAGCCAAAATCAAGTTTCCCCTCTCAGAAGTGAAATAATACAACCGAAGGAGGTATCTTACAAATCTGATGCCCACAATACAGAACCCCATCCTCAAGTTTTATAGCTCACTTTTTTAAACAGGTGATCCAAAGAGAGACAGACTCAAAGAGATGTCTCAAGTCAAGAAAGAAATAGCCCTGTATTCCCTAGTATTTTCAGAATAGTAACTTGTGCACATTGCTAGCCTCAATATGAAAACAAATATTTTGGGCCAGAGACAGCTGTAACAGCCAGAGCACATGCTCTAAATGATAAAATCCTGGGCCAATCCTTGGCTCCCGAGTACTATGGAAGTAGCCCTGAGCACTACTAGTTGTGGTCCAGAAAGCAAGAGACAACCCCCCACCAAGGTGCCTTTCTTGCATGCAGGTCCTGCATTCAATCCCCAGCACCACAAAAAGCAAGTCCCCCCCCCCCCAAAACCCTGTTTGGATTCATTTATCTTACCTGCACAGATGAAGAGAGCTCACACTTAGCCTTTTCAGCAGCTTCCCTAACCCTCTGAAGTGCCATGTTGTCTTTGGTCAAATCAACTCCAGTCTATAAAAGAATATCATATCATACTAGTATTAGCAAAGACATAAACAATTGAAATCTTTTTTTTTTTTTGGGGGGGGGAGCTTTTGTGATCATACCCATCAAAGCACAGAGGTTACTCCTGGTTTTGCACTCAGGAATTACTCCTGGCAGTGCTTAAAGGGACCATATGGGATGCTGGAAATCAAACCCAGGTCAGCTGTGTTCAACGCAAATGCCCCACCCACTGTACTATTGCTCCAGCCCCACGATTTAAATCTTAAAGATGATCTGTAATAAAACAGTTCCTTACGACTATAGATTCTAGCTCAAAAATAAGTTGTTGAGATGGAGGGCATAACTCAGGAGCTCCTCAACATCTGCTTTTCAAATTGACATTGAATGTGCTGAACATGGTTCCAATGGCTTTCCTGTTTCAGCCTGGCAGCTCTACTGTCTATAATCCCTGGGCTAAAAGAGATTTCCTGCTGCAATAAAACTAATAAGAAAGCACATGTTCAACTGCCACAAATGCCACAACATGTGACTCTCAGTCAACTAAACGATGAAGGAAAAGTGAAATGTTCCTGGAATACTTTTTCCAATACTGTACACCGAGTGACTTAGTCTTCAAATCTGTTATATGTACCCAGTCAGAAAAGGCAATGATGTTGTTATTGTATATATCAACCAACTCATGAAAATGAAATAACTTGTTATTACCTCCCTATTTCAGTACTCTAAATGGCAAAATAAATTATAAACAAATGAGCAATTTGGGCCAAGAATCCTCAGTATCTGTATGTCTACATACTAGCCACACCAGTCACTAACCTCTCTTTTGAACTCCTTCACAATGTGTTGTAGCAAGGCTTGGTCAAAGTCTTCACCACCTAAGAAAGTGTCTCCATTGGTGGACTTCACCTCAAACACTCCCTTCTGAATTTCCAGGATAGAAATATCAAAAGTTCCCCCACCTAAATCATAAACAGCAATGCTAGGGAGAAAAAAAAAAAGGCTGTGAGGAACAAATCTATCATAGCAAATCACAATGCTATCATACTTCAGCAATAACACAAAGCTGGCTATTTCCCTCATAAAATAATCATGAAATCTATTCCTGCCCGAATGGTATGTTTATATACCACCCGAGCACCAGAGATAGCTGATTGGTACCCTCCTCACCACTCCCCCCCAACCAAAAAGGAAAAATACAAACAAAAAACCCCCCAAACAAACCCCCACTACTCTAGAAGCTACAAGTAAAACACAGGCACAGCTTCAATGAAATTAATTCAACTCTGATGTTTGCTCATTTTTGGACCACCTAGCCAGTGCTTAGGGCTTACTCCTGGAGTGTTCCTGGACCAGATGAGGTGCTGGGATCAAATCTTAATTTAGCCATGTGCTAAACTCACCCTTTGAAAGCAAAA